GGGGGGGGGGGGAAGCCCCGGCCCGCCGCCGCCCCGGGCGGGCGGGCCCGGCGCGGCGCGACCCGGAGCGCCGCGCCGCCGGCGCCGGCGGCCTGGTGGCGCTCGCCCTCCAGCGTGAGCAGCAGCCCGGGCAGCCCCGCGACGGCCTCGAGGTCCAGCGACTGCAGCACGACCGTGTGCACGCGCGCCAGCTTCAGCTTGAACGCGTTAGCGAGCCGCTGCGTGCCCTCGCCGCAGCCGAAGAGCGCGCGCTCGGCGACGTGCTTCAGCAGCACGCTCTCGCTGCAGGAATTCAACAGCCCCGCGCCGAGCACGGTCACGTTGCAGTTGCTCATGGAAAACGCAATTATTTTGCGGAAAAAAAGCCGCAGCAGCTGCGTAGGCGGCGTGGAAACTTACTGAGAGGCGTCCAGCGGCCGCGCGCGCTGCAGGTCGTGCGCGGGCCGCCGCGGCGCGCCGGCGCCGGCGTCTTGCGCGACGATTTCGCTGGTCAGCGCGGCGAACGCGTCCTCGACGCGTTCTGCCTGCTTTGCGCTGGTTTCGACGTAGGCCAGCCGGTGCGCGCGCGCGAGCTCCTCCGCCTCTTCGGCCGCGACGACGCGCTGCGTGGAGAGGTCGCTCTTGTTCCCGACGAGCAGCACGCGGACCTCGTCGCCCGCAAACTGCGCGACGTCGCGCAGCCAAAGCGTGACGTGCTCGAAGGAGCTGCGATTCGTCAGGTCAAACACCACCACCACGCCGCGGGCGCCGCGGTAGTACGAACACGTGATCGTGCGGAAGCGCTCTTGCCCCGCGGTGTCCCAAATCTGCAGCTTGACGCGCTGCTGGTTGGCGAGCACGGTTTTGATTTTCTGCTGGCGGCGGCGCGCACTTACGAAGTCGACGCCAATGGTGCTCATGTAGTTCTCGGTGAAGCAGCCGTCGACGAACTGCATTAGCAGGCAGCTTTTGCCGACGCCCGAGTCGCCGACGAGCAGCACCTTGTAGAGCCGGTCGCTAGCGGGCGGCGCGCGGCACTTACAACTCTGCGGCGGACATTGTCTCGATTATTTAAAAAATGATTTAGCCGCGGCCTGAGCGGAAGATCAGCACCGTTTCGCGGCCGATTTGCAGATAGCAGTAGCTCGCGCGGTCGAAGGCAATGTACGAGTAGAAGCCGCGGCCGACGAAGACGTGCCAGGCGGCCCCAAACGCCGCGTCAAAGCCTGTGCGCGGCGCGCTGCGACCTACTTTCCTTCAGCGCACGCGCGAGCCCGCGCTGGTCGAGCGCGGGCTGCGCGAGCGCGGCGACTTCGCGCAGCGCGAAGCGCAGCATCTCGGCGTCCATCGCCGAGCGCTTGACGGTGACCGCCGCGGCGAGCGCGGCAGACATAGCCCGGAACGGATAAATAAAAATATAAATTGATGGGCGCCGAAATGGAAGCGGAGCGCTGCGTGATTAAGAACGCGGACATGCCCGACGACATGGTCGCGACCGCGCTGTCGACCGCGAAAGTAGGTGCGCCGCGCACGCAGGCAGGACGGTTTTCACATGTTCTCGGTCGAACGCGACATCGCGGGCTACATCAAGAAAGAGTTTGATCGGCTCTACGAGCCGACCTGGCACTGCGTGATCGGCACGAGTTTCGGCTCGTACGTTTCGCACGAGACGCGTCGCTTCATTTACTTTTACTACGGACGCGTGGCGATTTTGCTCTTCAAGAGCTAATTTCGCGAAAAGCCGAAATTCGCGAAAATAGCGATGGATGCGGTTCCGGTACTACTTGCCGGACTGCGCAATTTGCCACGAGCCGCTGCATGTGCGGCCGAAAATTGGCGCGCCGCTTGAGTGCGGACACCTGTTTCACGATCAGTGGTAGGTCCGCGGCGCGGCGAGCAGTCTGCGCGCCTGGCGCGACTCACGCGCTGCACGGACGTTTCCGTGCCCGCTCTGTCGCGCGCAGGCGACGAAGCTCGTGCGCGTGATTCTCGCCTTCGACAAAGTCGTCCCGGAAGAGCAGCCGACATCGCCGGCGGAGAGTTACTTGCAGGAGCTGCTGGCGGCGAAGGCGCGCTGCGCGGAGCTCGAGCAGCGCTGGGGGCGCGCGGACGAAGAGGCCGCGACGCAGCGCGCCGCGGCCACCTCG